TCAGGTGCCGGGCACAGCCAAGGATGCCGCTGTGGCAGTGTCATCTCAGGTGCTGGTCCCTGTGGAGCCAGAGCCCCTGTGGCAGTGTCACCTCAGGTGCTGGTCTCCTATGGAGTCAAGGGTGGCTGTGTCACCTCAGGTGCCAGTCCCCTGTGGGACCAGTGCCTCTGTGGCAGTGTCACCTCAGGTGCCTGGTCCCTGTGGAGCCAAGGCTGCAGTGCCATGTGACAGTGTCCACACCTCTGTATGTACTGGTACCCAGGCCCTGGAGAACCCCACTGCTCCCCCCATGAGGAATTTGGGCTGTTTCATGCCACCCTGTCACTCATACTGTGGCTGGTTCCTCTTCTTGTCTGCAGCCAGGCTTTGCCCCATATCCTTTTGTCCTGCTGGACCTGCACAACCAGACTGGTCCCGGCAAGTGTGTTGTTCTGATCTTTCTGGCGAGGTGCTTGAGGGCTGTGTGTCTCAGCGCCGCATCTGCTAAGCAAGAGAGCAAATAGTCAGTGGGGGTCCAAAATTGTGTTTGAGAGCAATTATAGCCTGCGTATAGGTTAATTAGGGTGTGTGAAGGTATGAGAAATGATTGATGAATGCAGCGATGAATCTATGACAAATTTAGGTTTGCAAATCATTGACATCACGCAACAGGGAATGATCCCAAATGAGCTGTTCCTCACGGAAATCCAGGGCTATCCTCCAGCTAGCACCACCTCTAGTAATCAGTAATCTCAGTGCTATACCAAGTGCGAGAGCCACTGAGTTACTCCAGAAGCGTTCGTCTTGGCCATCCCAGTCTGTAATTAGAGCGACATTCCCCTGTGATGGGAGAATTACAGAAATTGAAGGGAAAGCATAGAACTATGCAGTGTGCATTACTTGGCTGTGTAAATGTACACATTTAAGAATCTGAATTACTTGATATTTGTTGTTTCAACAGGTTAAAACAACAACCAGTAATATGGAGCAGGACTTAGAAGTGTTTCAGGAACAAGCTGTTGCTAAGTAAGTGATTACTTAATGTCTGGGAGTTGAATATATAATGGAATCGAATTATGTGGGTTTATTAAAAATGTGAAACAAAATGGTTTTTTAAAAGCAAATGTGATTCTTTTTCTATTTCTTCTGCTGCTTTCTATGCAAACTGGAGAGGTTACTGATAATTAAGACAACACATCTTATTGCTTTAGCTAATAACCTACTGACTGTTTCTGCTAGTTATTTAAATTTTTTAAATCTTCATATCTGAACAAAAGAGGGGAAAATGAAAGCTATGTAGGGTTTTATTAAAATGTTAAATGTTATTTTAAACTGTTTTAAAAAATAGTTGAAGTTGCTAGGCTACGGCAGTATAAACTTACATATCGCAGCTCTTAAAACAGTCAAAAATCTTAAAAACAAGGCTATTAATTGCTAAAGCCTTAGTCTTATTTTGCACTGGTAATAACCACAATTGTTCTTACCCAGTATTAAGTGCACTTTTTATCACAACACAATCATCTTTTTTGACATAATCCAAGTTTAGTTCTTTTAATGTTAATCTAAAAAAAATGTTAGTACAGCACATCTTTCTAAAGAAGTGTAAACATGGGTGAGATTTGATGTAGGACCTCATCCCATCCAGCCTGTTCAAGGAACACAGCAATATAAAAAGTATTTCCCCATATAATGAGCTAAATAGAATATTTATTTATGAAAAATTTATAAGTAAACTTATTACCTATTTTACATATAAACCAATTCATCATCATTAGCAAGAAGCATTTCAAGGTAATATGATGCATATTAAGTATAAAAGTATTTCTTAAAATAATAGAAACACACCATTCTGGCCCAATAAAGTTTTAATAAGATTTGAAAGTGTGCTCTGCTGTACTGAAGAATAATGTGTGAGCTTTTCATAATAGAAAAAAAATGCTGCATTAAAATATTATATTCTGAACAATGTGGCTTTTTTTTTTTTTTTTGCTTTGAGAGGCATTCTTTTTGTTAGTGATATGACTGGTAAATATGGTCATATAAAAACTGGAATTTAAAAATACCAAAATAGTGCTATTATTTGGACACTTCTTTAACAAATCAGAAGCTTATTTCAAGTTCAGATCCTGCCTGATCCTTGTTGTAATCGACATATGTGAAATTTCAGGCCATTGCAGATGAATCTAGAGAGTAATTTGTCGCATCATAAACCAGGTATTCTAGGTAGCTATTTATTTCCATTGACTATACAAAGAATCTGGAAGAGTAGTTTAGACCACACATCCAATGATAGGAGACATTCATTTCAGTCTATGCTGACAGTGTCCCAGAGATATTACAGATAGCTTTAAAATTTGGGAAGATGGCTGAATGATGCTGGTAGAAATCATGACAATTACATCCCAGCTGTGAGAACTCATAAATCACAAATTACCCATCCACAGATGTGTATGATTCTGTATGGCTGAAGATTGTTAAATATATTAGCAGTAGTTCATATAATGGAACTTTGGGGTAGAAGATTCTAATGGACTATTGCATCACAACCGGTTTATGTATTTCCTATTTTTAAAGCAAGTTTTAAGAAGAGAAGAAGAATTAATATTGGGTCTAGAAGCTCTGTTAAGGATCAAAATCTAATGAATGTACTATGTAAGATGGAAATCTGTGTTAACATTGTTCTGCATAGGTTTTACTTGTCTTTCCATAAATACAGTCATACATATTTTCCTATTTGTCAGCAAATCTGAGTAATAAGGGAAGAAGGCATGAAGTAGAGAGACAGTATGAACCAAACATTTCTTAAAATGTCAGTTTCTAAATTACAATGTTATTCTAAAGTGTATGGACAATAATATTCTTTTTATGTCTATTAGGAAACAATTAGAAAAATACAGATCTCTGCAGAACTCCAAAGCAAAAGGCAGATAAATAGAGCTAGAAAGCTGTAACTAGTGCAAAAATCATTTGTGATAAAGGCCTGGAGTTGGTAAAAGTTATTATCTGGATTTTGGGTTGTCTAAATTTGGAAACATCTAGATTTTACATGAAGACAAATAGTAATGACAGCAGAATATGAATCATCTCTATTTTCACCAATATGGAAATAGAATAAAAGAAGACTAAAAGCTTGCCTACATCACTTTAAAAATGAGATATCTTTAAGTATTTTGAGCTGTTTCAAAGTAAATGCCACAAAAAAAAAAGCTGCCACTTGCTTAAGTACCAGTCATTACTTCCATATATGAAGAATCCATTTGATGTATGCATTCAGCAAAGTGGGAATGCTGAATGCATATGGGCAAAAAAACGTATCTGTACTTCATTTTATGGGAAAACTTGTTCTTTGTGTGTTTACCTGATGGCATATGAAACAAAAGATACCAGAATTTTCCGCATTCCACATCCAGTGATCAAAATAAATTCTCATGATTGTGATACCATATGATTCGCCATATTCTGAGGGGGATAGTTAGCACTCTCTTTAAAACACTGAAGGGACTAAAATAAAAGTTAGAGCAGCTAGTAGTACCTCTATGCTAGTAGGTGGGGATAACTGCCAAATACATCTCTATGCAGATCTGTTTGTAACACCACAGCCATGATACAGAGTAGTTCTGGTAGCAGAACAGCAGCAGTAATCTACAGCTTCACGTACAGCTTTCCATTTTCAGCTGCAGGTGTACCTAGAGGATCTAGGTAAGGAAGTAGACAGAGAAGGTGGAGGTAGACTGAGAAGCTGTTTCAGAAGGGATTTTTCCTCCAACAGCTCCCTTTTATATGTTACTGGTTCTAAGTTCAATAAACATGCAAGAAATGTTGGGAGAAAATTTTCTAGCTTTGTGTAGGATGATCTGAAAAAATAGCTGAACTTAAGAGGGAAAGATGTCAGCCATGGTGTATCTGAAAGGGTAACCTGATGATCCAGGCTAGAGGTTGCAATTGCACTTCCATAACAATGTTTAGATGATCCATGTGACACACAATAAAGTATGTACCTATTTCTGAAGGCTAAAATCAGATAGCTGTTATTGCTGGTGGTTCACCGAAGTGTTGTCACCTGACATTACATGAGGCTTGAAGGGCACAGGTCTTTATAGTAGTGTCAAAGAAAAGGTAGTCCTGATGCAGTATTGCTTCATCTTCTGCTTTTAAAATCCCATTTTATATTCCACCCAGAAGGAATCAAAGTTTGCTGCATCATTAATGCTATTTTGAGATGAGTTTCAGGCACTTGGGGAGGGGCCATTTTTGTTTTGTGATATGTACATCACAGTTTTGGTTATCATTGGTTATTATCATTCCTTGACTCAAATTTTAAAATGGCTTTGCTAACAGTTTTAATATTAAAATGGCATTAAGATTTATGTGTGTATTTAAAAAGCCTTTCCAAGCTTAACATTGATAATGTTAAAGTTTCAAAATTGTAAAGAATTTTACTTTTAAAAAAAAGTTGAGTTGTAATTATGATGGTGTAAATCTAACAAATTCGCTCCAATGTCCTGAAATAATTATCCAAACGATGGATATGCACCATTTAAGCACCAAAAAAGATAGTCAGTAAACACATATCCATCCATCCATCCACTAGATGACCTTTAAAGGTCCCTTCCAACCCAAACTATTCTATGACTCTATGTTAAGGCACTCTTTTATTAGTGTAGAGCAGTCAGAAGTTGAGCATACAGGATATGAAATGCAGAGTGTGTGGGACCAGCACTTGACCCAGAGCATTACCTACAGACAGGGGACTTCAAGGCACTAGGAAGGCAGACATTTGGAGAGCTGGCTGAAAAGCTGGGATGTGAAAGATTGCCAGAAAAGAAAGGAAGCATTTTCACGCTTTCCTATGAAGGCAGGCTGAGAGAGTTGGGGTTCCTCAGCCTGGAGAAGAGAAGGCTCCGGGGACACCTTATTGCAGCCTTCCAGTACCTAAAGGGGGCTTATAAGGAAGATGGGAACAAACTTTTTAGCAGGGCCTGATGTGATAGGACAAGGGGTAATGGTCTTAAACTAAAAGAAGGTAGACTCAGGCTAGATATTAGGAAGAAAACCTTTATTGTGAGGGCGGTGAGGCACTGGAACAGGCTGCCCAGAGAAGTTCTGGATGCCCCATCCCTGGAAGTGTTGAAGGCCAGGTTGGATGGGGCTTTGGGCAAGCTGGTCTAGTGGAGGGTGTCCCTGGCCATGGCAGGGGGGTTGGAACTAGACGATCTTTGAAGTCGCTTCCAACTCAAACCATTCTATGATTCTATGATTCATGCTAGTATTCACAGAAGATGGTAGTATCAACTACCAGGAATAAAAGCAGCTGCTTATATTAAGGCTTATTTTGCAAAGTCATTTACAGTAGAGGAGCATGTTAGCTTACTGTTCTTCAGGCAGCATGCTCAGCATTTGAAGGCTCACTGTCTATAGGGATATTGCCTCTGCATTCATGGCTCAGTTTGTGTTTGGATAAGTAGAGTTCTGCTAAAGTAGAGTTCCTGATTGCTTGGCACATTCTCGGTTGCGATGTCCCCCAAAAACTATGTCAGATTGTAATGTTTGTGACACAAAATGGCATTTTATGCTAATTTTGAAATCCTCTCCAACACTTCCTAGGATGGAGCGGTACAGGCATACTGCTGTGCTTTTTATCATTAACCCTTTTGTAGGTTGCTGCTACATTATTCAGATGCTGCACCATCTTTTGTCTCTGTGTGACTGTCTCTATGGCAGTTATTTAATAACATAATAGCTATGCTCATTTTAATAAACCATCTTGCCATAGAGATATTAGAATGGCTGCAAAATTATTAGTGATCATAAAGGCATTTTATGTGCACACAGAGGTGTGTACCATTAGCGGTCAAGATAATACATAGTTTTTAAATTTGTATAAATTAAAGAATCAATTAAAATATAACCAGTGGCTATCACTTTTACTTTTGGGGAAAATGTCAGTGAGATAAATAATATTATTAAAAGGAAAATGGAACATGTCATAATTCTAAACAATGTCACAGCATTCTTAGATTACTTATCAGAAAGCTAAATTTATTATCATGAAAAGTAATAGGTTACAATACATTTTTTGCATCAGTTTAGATATCAGGAGGGATAATTAAATTTATGAAAGAATACAATTGCTGGTTTTATCAACAGGAAATTCAATATAAGCTTCTAATGAAAACAAAAAAAAAGAAAAAAGAGACTTGAAAATTATGCAACAGTATGAGGAAATGGAAATTAAATGCAGATTAAACTTCAGCTGTACAATGAATAGTCACTCTGACAGATGAAAAATGCGAAGAGAAAGCAGGTGTACCACTAACAGTTTACTAACAGTATAACTGGTTGAGATAAGGGAGAGAGAGTTGACAGGCAACTGGACAGGAGATAAGGTTGCACATTTCAATACATTCCAATATGTTACAAAGATAAGATAAAAGTATGTCTTCTAAAGAAAGTAATAAAGCTGTATATTAGGGTAATTTATAAATATAATCTCTTATTTAGAAAAAAATAAAATAAAGCAATTAAAACTAGAACAGGAAACAGGAAATCTATTTAAAAAGCTCTATAAAAGAATTGGAAAAGAAGTAGAAAAGTTTATCAACAGTTAACTCATATGAGAACAGGACATTCAGTTAACAGATGCCACTAAGAAAATTGTGTGGAAAGTAAATGTTTAGAGACATTGAAATGAAAGAAATGCTACTCTCAAAAGTTTTAAAATTCAACACATTATTCTACTAGCTAAAAACAGTCAGTGAAAGTTTTTCCTTCACTTCAGAGAGATATATGCCCCTTTTGGTAATTAGTATAAAATATCTATATCCAACATTCTATGGCCTCTGAACACACTAAAAATGCTTAGAAGTTGTGGTATTTTTTAAAAAAATGAAGTTAATAAAAATAATTTTATTTCAATAAATGACATGAAGCAAGCATTACAGTAGTGAGTATGCTAAAGGCTTTTATCAAAAATACTGTCTTAAATAATTCTGATCTCGTATCTTAATTAAGTAAACTGAGATCAAGTTGAAGTGTTTAATGATTGACAAATAACAGATTTTTTTTCCTGATGTATAATTAATCATAGTGAAAAAAACCAGTCAGGTTTTTTTCCATATGACTCCATGAAAATTAAGTTTTATAGAAAATTTATCATAGAATCAGAATGGTTTGGGCTGGAAGGGACCTTAAAGATCATCTAGTTCCAACACCCCTGCCATGGGCAGGGACACCCTCCACTAGACCACATTGCCCAAAGCCCCATCCAACCTGGCCTTCAGCACTTCCAGGGATGAGGCCTCCACCGCTTCTCTGGGCAGCCTGTTCCAGTGCCTCGCCACCTTCACAGTAAAGAATTTCTTTCTAACATCTAATCTAAATTGACCCTCCTTCAGCTTGAACCCATTACCCCTTGTCCTGTCACTACACTCCCTCATAAACAGTCCCTCACCAGCTTTCCTGTAGGCCCCTTCAGGTACTGGAAGGCCACAATTAGGTGTCCCCAGAGCCTTCTCTTCTCCAGGCTGAACAACCTCAACTCTCTCAGCCTGTCTTCATAGGTTGAACTAGCAATTAAGAATTGTGGCTTGCTTTCAAGCCAGCTGTTTAATAACTTCCTCCAACAAACTCTGCTTCCCTCATTATGTATCCTTAGTGGGAAGTCCTGTGCCTATAAGCAACTTAATATTCATCTTCTCCCACTCTTGCCCATTGAGGTTTGGGCCTGGATACTTTCAACTCAACTTAATGCTTATTTGACAATTCTTCCCTGAAAGAGTGAGAGGATATCAAACAGCATTGAAGCTTGGCAAAAAGTCCAGAATATGCTTAATACTCTGATTTTGACTTCAAGCAAACTTAAGTCAGATGAAGTGAGATTCCACCTACATGTGAAGGCATCATTTAGCTTTCCATTTCTTTCTTTCTGGTGTTGAAAAGTGATTATTTACATCAGAGTTAAAATAAAATCCTAGCAATGCAAATAAAAAATTGTTTTCTCCCCTATTCTGTATTTGAAAAAATAACTCTCCTTTATATTATTAGAACTTCTCCATGTGAATCTGAACTTCAGGAATTAGTGCATCAAATTGACATCATGGTAAACAGAAAGAAAGTAGAATGGGAAAGGAAGATGAAAGCTTTAGAAGCAAAGATGGATATCCAGGATCAAGAATTAGCAAGTGCCCAAATCAAACTGGATCAAAAAGGTCAAGAGGTATTTAAGAATATCATGTTCTATAAAGAAAGTATTTATTCTGGGAGTTAGTTAATAGTATGCTCTAAATGCTCTATAAGGAGACCTGTTTGTTCTACCATGTAAAAATATCAAACACCCTTTAAAGGTCACTAATTATCCTCAGTGTTTTGTTTTAAAGTGTGCTTCTGTTCTGAAAAGTGATTGTAAAAATGTCATTGAAAGTCTCATATTTCTTCTATTTCCCTAAAGTCTAAATCAAATATTCTCAGTTTAGCTGTAAAAAGATAATTTGATGTTTTTTCTAAATGCCAACACTTCTAGTTTCATCAGAAATTTTAAATGGAAATGTACAGTTCAAAAAGTTTCACAAAATTATCTTTGTAATTCCTGTTTCTACCTGATTTTTATCATTTTACATGATATACTGTCTTTGATAACTTTATTATTAATAGTGAAGGTTTGAATTGTATTACTACTTACACTTGCTTATCAAACTGAAAGCTCCAGTGTACCTGATGTTGTCTGTACTTTACAGTCTTGTCTGCTGAATATTCATTCAGAAGCACCAGTAGATCCTAGCACAGCATTCAGCTCTAGTTCAGGACTTCTGAAGTTAGGTGTTTACACATGGGCACCCTTGTGTGAGCTAGGTGTCTAAACTGTCAGTGGGAGTTTTGAAAATAATTCTCTCTAATGAGCAATTAGGAACTTGCCCTTAGTCATTGCAGTCAGAGAAGCCAAGAGAATAATTCAGCTAGCCAATCCTTAAAGCATCAATTTATTTGCCTGTACAGAGATGTTACCTGAAATATTTTAGCATATTCCACCTAGCTTCCAGCTGCACCTCCAGAAAAACATAGGTGTCATGTATGCTCTTTGTCATATTTCTCAGATCTCTGTGAAACTCTCAGATAATTCAAGATAGCCCAAATGGCGCTGTACTTAAGGAGCTGAAATGAGTCTACAGTGTCTCCTGGTAATTTTACATAAGTAGTTGAAAGTCATTTATATGATTATATAAGCCATTCAAGCAAAAATTTCACAACGGGGCACAGCAGTTCATTCGTATAGTTGGGTCAGAAATGCTTTCATTAAATGGTCTTTCATGACAGACTCATACAATATTATTATTAAATCATAACATAAGCATACAATGAGATTTTTTACTATAAAATCCCTAACTTGATGTTGACACAATCTGTGTTTGTGGTATTCAGTTTTATTATTAAGTTACTGAATTAATATTTTTTTTAATATCTGTCTTTTAAGCAATGGTCTTCTTTTAAAGTTTCAAATGACTATTCCAAAAATGACATATTACAGAACACTTCAGAAAGGTAAATTTGAATGCTTATTCTAACTGTAGGTGGGACTACTTCGACAGAAACTAGAAGACTTACAGAAAACTAAATATGAAATGGCTCAGAATTATGAAACTCACCTTCAAGCACTGAAATCTCAAGTAAGAAAAATGTCAGTTTCATTATTTTATGATTGCAGTATACAGAGCTTATACATGCCTAATGATATAGATGTATCTTTATGGATTTGGGAAAGATGAATCATGTCATACAAATGAGGATGACTACAGCTTCCTACCAGGCCCTATTATCATTTCTGTACTGACATGTCCAAACTCTGGATGGATTTTGATGTGAGTGTGACACCTGTTATGAAGAGAGATACTCAGTTTCCTGACTTTGGACTAATAAACTAAAACCTTGGTGAATGAATAAAATAGATAATTAGATTCATGATAATAAGACTCATGCACATTAGGAATTTTAAGACTTAAACTGTTCCCATCATGTCATCACTATAATTTTTTCTGGTTTTAGTTTGCCTGATTTACAAGGATTATTAAAGTGGTCTGATAGCTTTCCATAAGGGAACATAGTATCAAAACTGGAGTAACCTCTATTATTGACATTGGCAATTTGTTTTGGCTTTATTTATTTCAGAGTGTGCTTGCAGCCCAGAAAGACAGTTGTATCCTGGGCTACATAAAAGGAAACATGGCCAGCAGGTCAGGGGAGGTGATTCTTCCCCTCTACTCTGCTCTCATGAGACCCCACCTGGAGTACTGCATCCAGCTCTGGGGTCCCCAGTACAAGACATGGAACTGTTGGAGCAGGTCCAGAGGAGGGCCATGAAGATGATCAGAGGCTGAGAGAGTTGGGGTTGTTCAGCCTGGAGAAGAGAAGGCTCTGAGAAGACCTTATTGTGGCCTTTCAGTACTTAAAGAGGACTTTTGACAAAGCTAGAGAGGGACTGTTTCCAAGGACATGTAGTGACAGGACAAGGGGTAATGACCTTAAGCTGAAGGAGGGAAGATTTAGATTGTACATAAGGAAGAATTTTTACTTTTTTATGAGGGTGGTGAGGCACTGGAACAGGTTTCCCAGAGAAGCTGTGGATGCCCCCTTACTGGAAGAGTTCCAGGTCAGGCTGGATGGGGCTTTGGGCAACCTGGTCTAGTGAAAGATGTGGCAGGGAGGGTTGGAACAGATGATCTTTAAAGGTCCCTTCCAACCGAAACCATTGTATGGTTCTGATTCTATTTGGCTGTGTTTGTCCTGTGCCTGTATTTTTGTTTCTTCATTATTTTCCACTTCAATCACAAATCTAAATTCTTAGTGAACTTCAGTCTATCCTGTTTCTCAGATTTTAACAAGTTAACATACACAAATCTGCATTGTTTTTCCTGCTATCCTACTGCGTCCTTCAGTGGATTGTCCTACCAGAGATTTAGTGTTACAATTAAAAATTTCTAATCAGCACACTTATCATAGAATCATCTTGGATTGCATAAATTGGATATCATTATTTTCATTTTGAGGTGAGAACGCTGACCACTCAAATCCATCAAACCAATAAATGTATAACTTATTTTTAAGGTTACATTGTCTTTATTTTTTTCTTTTACATATGGAAATTGATTTGGCACAGAGTTCTGTGAGTGAGCAGAGAATGTTTTGATTGTTATGTAATTAACACTTTTAATCATTTGGGAAAGTAGCAAGGAACAAAAGCTGTTTTATAATTTACACAAATTACAGAAAAAGAAACAACATCTAAGCATGATTATTGAGAAGCTAAACATCATACAATGAAAAATGGTGTGACTTTTTATGTATAAGTTGTAAGATACCTTTAGCAATGCAGAACTATCCCCCAAAATATAGGACATCTCTCTAATCCTTTTTCACATTTGCTGCAATATTTTTTACTTTTTTTTTTTTTTAATCACATGCTAAAAATGACTGGGTTTATGTTATATTTTGTTGATAAGAACTTCACTGAAATTGAATTTTCTGATATTGAAACTCCAGGTCATTTTTCATAAAGATTTTGATTTTGAAATTGTTAATTACCCTACAAGTCCTTTCCTTGGGCAAATACAATCTGTTTTTTCTTTGTGGGTTTTTTTTAAAGAATCTGACACTTCCTAACTTAGAAGCTTCTCTCTGTAAACCTGGTTATACTTCTTGCCAAGATTCTCCTTTTTAATTACCACTCAGACCATCTAATTTTCTTTGAGTTTTGTGATTGCTTCTCCTTTTATATTAATGCAAGAAGTTTGGATTTCTAGCTCTTAAGAATATACATCACTTTCCCAATCTATGCCTCCAAACATTTTCTTCTCTCTCAGTCATCTTATTTATTTTACCAAAGGTTCCAGCACTGATGCCATTTGCATTTTGTTTTCCGATTCCCATTCCTCTCCTTTCACCAAACCATTTTTCTTCATGAAATATCCATCCAGTACACATTGACCGAAGAAGTAAACTGTTAGGTGCCTAAGTTAGGAGGGCTGTCTAGATTTTCTGTGCGATAAACAGAAAGTTTACTTGTCAGAACAATTCCAAGCACCTGTGCTAGACAGTAAGACTATCCCACTCTGCTCCTCTACCTTTTACCAAGTCTCCTTATTGAGTTTCTTTCTTAAATTACAGTGCTGTGGTGTCTCAACAGAATGACTTTAATGTCCCCACTTCTCAGCTGCACAAACTCATATCTAAAATGTAGAGCTTCCCTAACAATATTAATCTTTGCCTTGTATCCTTTGTCTCCCTTCTTTTGGTGCCTATCCTCACTTGAAAGTTATACCTCCTTCTACACTGTACAATCTTAAGAGCTACAATTTAGTTTTGCACAAATGGTGTGAGTGTTACTATTTACCAGTAGCGTTGCATCATTCTCTACAGCTGTATTCTTAAAATCCTTCCCAACTTTTGTTCCTCCTTAATCTTGGTAGAAATAGAAAGGATGACCTTTTCTTGCTCTAAGAATGCTAGGCTATTCAGAACAAATTTCTCTCTGAAATACTGCTTCTGTGGTCCTCAGTGCTTTTTACCCTTGCTACCGATAAAAGCAGCTGTTTAATGAGCAACATTCCCACCAAATTGATTGTATGCCTGTCGAATGCAGTAAAACCTGTACTTTTCTTGTATTAGGGAAATAATTCCTGATACGTAACCTGAAACTCTTAGGCCACACTTATGCACTCATTCAAATGTACAACATTTTGTCATCATTAAATAGCAAAAACTTAAAAAGGGTTCATCTTCGTTACTTTCTTCCTTCATTTTTTTTCTATATTAATGTTTAGTAGTTATTCTCATTTTGAAAATGACAGAAATCCCTCAGCAAATGAACAAGAATCCATTCTTGCTCTAAGCACTTTAGCAACTAATTGCCTCACTTAGACATTTAAAAGCTAGGTGGCTACGTCTGAGCTACCTCAGGATCCCTTTAGAATCAATGGAGGGAAATGGACACCCCTAGAATATAATTCATGTCACTATGATTAGAATTTAAGATAGCTGAAATGACTAAGCATTTGAAGGCAGCTTTTTCTAATGCAGTGTAGCTGAGGCTTGGTTGTCTAACTTTCAGAAATCTAAACTTATATGAATTTTACCCCTGAACTCACAAAAATGCCTCCTTTTTTTTTTTCACTTGTACAACATGCAAACAGAACAACTTAGATCTTATTTTTAAAGCAAATATCTAGTGTTAAATGGAAAGATTCCTGGCTTTTAGTCTAGTTTCCAGTCATGATAACATCCAAACTATAGTCTATCTGAAATATCCTACTTTCATTAAATAAATCTAATATTCCAACTAAATTTTCTCATTTTGGCCATTCTGTTCCATTTTAGACTGATGTACTGAAGTGTTGGATCCTGTATTTCCAGGAAGCCTTTTTAGCATGAACAGTCTAATACCTGTCTTCATCTGAGTTTGCTCTTCCCAGGTAGTTCATGTATACCGTAATATATTCAAGAGCAAAACTCCTGTTATTTGAAAAACAATATCTTTGTTCCAAAGGCAATGAGTTCCATGTTGCTTGAGCCTGGATAATCTGACTAATTTTAAATATTTTATCTTAACTGTGTTCTCTGGCAAGGTCAACTTCAAATATAGGCAGCTTCTCTGCGGGACTTTTTATTTTGTTTTGAAGGTGATAGCTCTCTAAGTCCATGTTACAGGATTTCTATTCAGAAATTCCAAGTTGCTCAAATCTATCCCTGGACTTCCCCATTTCATGAAACTTTCTAATCTAGAACAATCTATCTTCTGGTCATCTTTACAATTCTTTTTTGCTGTTCCGTATTTTGAGTTCCCAAAATAATCTCAATTGTCTCTAGACATGATGATTTTTTAACTCCAGTTTCTGTTCTGTATCCTTTCTGGACTTCTTTGGCCATCTTTGTTACCTGCACAGACCTCAATTGCTCATTCCGGTTTGGTTCAATAGGATTCTATTCCATTTCCAATTACTTCCTTGGAAATAATTTCTTTTCCAGACAGTAGTTCACTTGAACAGTTAACAAAAATGTGAGATTTATGGATTTTGTTTGGTTAGACAAAGAACTTTATGTTAGAGTTATAATTTTTTTCAGTGAAGCCATAATTGTTACAGAGAATGTAAACCATCCTATATACCTGAATTTAAACAAAACAACAAGAGACATGATCAGTATTCATAGTTGTAAGCTTTTCTACTCAACATTCTTTGCAAAGTTCTTTCATTCGGCTTCCCTCAAGACCATATTTTTAGTGTTTCCTTTGCCAATATCCTTGGGTTTCCTTTTTTTTTTTTTTTCCTCAAAACCAGATGTACATATCTCTACCAGACAGTGTCAGTTTGCTGTACCAAACCTGTTAATGGTGACTACCCCCTTTGCTTGTGTAGTCTAGCTAACTGTTGATCAGAATGGCCGTTTTTCTGGAGAGGCTCGTACCTTCTGAAGAGGCTGGTACTTCTACTGGTACCTTCCCTTCCAGGCCTGTGACTGCTTTGCCTCTAACTCCTAAGCCATGCTGTCATGGTAAGATCAATAGGTAAAACAGTATATAGTGTCTAATTCTCATAGACACTCTTTGGTACTTCATGATTCCAGAAGAATGCAATTATGACATACATAACATTTCAACAATTTTCTTGATAAAAAAGCAACATGTAAGTTTAAAATACATTCATGATAATCCTTCATTCTGACTAGTGATGCACCCTTTAGAAATCTCAACACAAGATGGCAGTAAACAAGTATAGAACATTTCATATGAGCGTTGTAGAGGAAATGACCCTATGGGTAACAGTGCCATAAAGAACTTCAGCAGAATTAAGTAGCTGTCAAATGAACCCGTTTGAATAGTTAGTTAGCATTTATACAAGAGCTTAGTCTTGTTTATCTCTAAGAAATTGACTTTATTAGTTGATTCTTTGTTACATTGATTAAATATTTAGAATGCTGAAGCTGCAGTTGGCAATTCTAGTTTAAAGAAAACTTTGGCCACGTGGTCATCTTTGATAGATTCAACATGTTTGACTCTGTTTTCATTTTTAGTTTTCAAAGTTGGCACATAGTTACAAAAAGCTGCAGTCACATCAGTTAAAACAAAAAGAGGTTGAAAGTAGAGAAAAATGTGACGAAAGCCTAGAGACAGCATCTGAACTAAGCAATTTATACAAGAAACTGGAGGTAAGAATACTTTGTTATTATATTCTAATTTTAATTTATTATCATTTATTACATTCTCATTTTTAATTTAAAATTTAATTTCCTGATAATTTTACAAAAATTATATAATTTTCTTGCTCTGGCAAGAAAAGGTGCATAGTTTAGTATTCAGGTTTTCTTTTATCCAAGTTTCATTAGTGTATTTAGTAGTTTTATGAGCTAATATAGATAATTTTCTTCAGAAGTGTAACTATAGATAAATTTTACTTTTTTTCATGATTAATATATGTGTACTGGATAATATAATCTCTTGAGTCATGAGGCCTTTCACATATGCAGGATACTGTCACATAATGCCTATCATTAATTCTAGTTTTCCAGATTTCAGGACAACTTTGGCCATGCAAGGCTACATAAAAAAGGTATTTAAGATTGGAAAACTACTTGTTATACACATATCTTGTCAGCACCCGTGTGCCTGAGGCAATCCACAACCCTGACTTCAGTGCCTAATTTCCCTAAGTAACGCATGAGGAAGGAATAGGCACTTAAAAATACATTCCACAGAATCCAGCATCCTGAGTTGGGGACTGGATAATATGAGATGCTGAGGACAGCATTCGGTCATATTCCCTTTCCTCTGGACACAGAATGGATTTTAGCCAACTTGAATTCAGGAAGATACTGATTTCTGGTCAGAATTGCTTGCCTTGACTTCTCAGAGTTAGAAGTTACTTTATGATATGTGGAATAATCAAATATTTATTGGGTCAACAGGACAGTTATCCAGCGCAGAGAACTGGCATGTAGAGAGTGTGCCTCTCCCCAAATACTCTTCTGGCCACATTCACTGGTGCAGAAACTGATATCCAGTCTCACTTCTTATAACTGAGCGATGTAATCTCTAGCTGTACTAATTTTTGCTTCTCCTTTATTTACTTATGCGATAAATTTGCTGGTATCCTGTGCAAAGTGAAACAACTTCAAAAGGGATAATTCCAGAGCCTGTTGAAAAAAAACATTTGTTAGGTAGAAAATTAACATGGGAAGAATCTGATTCAGATTCTGTCTGGAGAGAAGATTATTAAACTGAGTCTTCCACATATGGGGAGAACAGTCTAACCACTACTCTGGTGAAGCATAGGAGGATCACAAAAAAAAACCCAACTTTTTTTCTGGTCATCTTTTGTAGAGAGCGTAATAAAGTAGTGCGTGCTTCGAGTGTTTGCTAAACTGGGTCCTGTA